AATAACAACGTCAAATCAAAAACTCAAAGGTTCCTTGTTCAAATTGCGTCGTGGGGGCCGAGGTACGGGTCTCTTATGACTTCGCGGCGCTTCCCGATACTCCGCAACGAATCCTTTTTCTTCCTCTGAGTCATCAGTGTGCAAAATCAACAAGATTTCCGAGCCTAGCAATGATAATCGTGGACAGATGTTGGTGCAAACACGAAAAAAGTAAACAAAACTTGGATGTGGAGCAACCCACCTGTACTAGTCACGGTTTCAGGAATCTGGTCACCACAGTATCTCCCAAACAGGCGATGTTGTACAGGTTCAGAACCGTCATAGATCTTCGGAAAAACATAATAAATTGTTGCCAACAAGTTATGGATTCGGACTACCTCCACATAATCATACTGGCACCTTTCTTCAGCTTCCAATGTGAATGAGTTGAATTGTATGCGCACACCACGATGACGTGAGCGAGCACTTATCCTCCACCAGCAATCCTAAATCCTATGATATTCAATTGTAAATTAATTATTGAAGTCATCTCTCACCTGACTTTTTCCATATTTACTATCGCTAAAAGTAGCATGCGAGTAAATATGCCCCGGTGATGATTCAGCCGTTAAACGTCCTCCGCACACTGAAAGGGATTATGTCGTAAAAAACGCTTAATGTCACTTACATATACCTGATGAGTAATGTGCTTCAAAACCCTGCCTAGATACGGACGCATCAGAAGAGAAGGTAAGAAAGAGCTGGTTTGTTGACGACATGAACATTGGTGGAGCGGTGACCCCGCAAAAAATACCTGAAATGAGACCGAATGTGTTTGAAGTCGAGAAATCAGTTGTAATGACTAACAAGAACGTACCGACAAGAGGCGCATTGGTGTCGCCACCATCATAAATTGATGCTGAATCATATTTGCACTGCGAATGTTCCTCTATTTGGAATGATGAGAAAGTCTGGATATCAAAATAGGTGATAGAAAGAGTTGATAAACAAAGCTTACAATCATAAGACGGTGTCCGGGTGTTGTTACAAAGTGCCATGTGCAATTCTG